CCCGCCCAGACCCACCGCCCTGCCCATCCACCGCCCCACTGGCGCCCACCGCCACGCCCAGACCCACCGCCTGGCCCATCCACCGCCCCGCTGGCGCCCACAGGTCCGTCCAGATCCACCTCCCGGCCCATCCACTGCCCTACTGGCGCCCACCGGCCCACCCAGACCCACCGGCCCGCCCATCCACCGCCCCACTGGCGCCCACCGCCACGCCCAGACCCCCGGCCCGCCCCCACCTGTTGTGGGGGACGTCCTAAAGGAGCTTTGCAGAGTTCTGTGGACTCCACCCCTACCCCAGGGGCTGGAAACTACAACACCCAGCAGCCCCAGGGAGAGAAGTGCAGGACCCAGGGGCGGAGCAAAGCGGCATTCTGGGACTCGGGAGACAAATAGGGGCCATTTGCTAGGGCAACGCGCGGTCGACCCGGGCTCTCAGTTCCCAGAGCTCCGAGGCAGCCAGCAGGGAAGGTATTCCAGCCTCCTCGTGTCCGCTCTCTTTCCCTGGGTCGCCCCTTTCCCTTTCCCCAATAAGCCCATCATTGACCCTTTCGTGGGGGCATGCAGCGCACCTGAATCGTAGGCGCCGGGGGAGGCCCACAGACGGGCGGCCCAGTGCTCACTGGGGGCCTATGGCCGCCTCGGCGCCCGCGTGGACCTGCCTGACTACGCCTCGGCCGAGCAGCCCAAGCCCCTGCGTGGGTCCCGCAAGCGCACGAGGCCTGCGGGACACGCGGCTTCCTGGTTTCGGGCCGCGAGTTCAGCTCTCGCTGACGTCGGCCACTGCGGCTTCGACCCGCCTCCCCAGCTTAGGTTCTTTCGGTTTTGTTCCGGCCTCAAGTCTCAGCACCGCCAGTTTTGCGTGGCCGTCCAGATGGTGGATCCCAACGAGGACCCCAATGAAGGGGACGTGGCATGTTGGAGCTCTACAGAAAGTGTTTATTGGTAGGGCCGCAGCAGGGGATTCCCAAACAAAAAAATCTTAATAAAATTCTGCAGCTGGAGCAGAGGGCTAATGAGGACCCATCTGAGTTCCTCGAGCAGATTATCCAAACGTGTGCCAGGCGCACGGATATAGATCCTGATGCCCCAGAAAATGCTCGTCTGATCACTAGGGCGTGCATTGCCCACAGTGCCGAGGTGGATGGCGTCACCCAGGTGAGTCCATCCCAGCTAGCGGACCTGGCATTCCGAGTGTGTAATAACGGAGGAAAAGAGACCTAAGCCTGCGACTGCTGTCGTAGAGGCAACACAGAACAGAGTTTCAGGGAAACAGTAACAGAACGGCAGGTGGACCCAGAGACGTGAGCCTCTAGGAAGGAATCCGTGTGCCCACTGCAAGGGCGAGGGACATTGCAGGTGAGAATGTCCCAGACTCCGGGTCAACAGGAGCTGTTATAGTGACAGAAGACAGGGTAGAAGGTCAGTGCACCCCCATGACTCACGCAGAGGTCACAGGAGAGCATACGGCCAGGGTGCCCGGGACCCAGAACCAGAAAGGAGAGAAGGAGACATGATGGCCAGAGCCGAGGCTCAGGCGCAGAGAGGAAGGAGCGCAAGCAGGATACCGGAGAGCAAGAGACGACTGCTGAGGGAAGGAGACACGTGATGGTACGCAGCAGAGGTTCGGATGAAGACCAGGGGCGCCCAGAGGCTCCACTGAGCCAAAACAGTCCACTGAAATACCCCTCTTGTGCACCCCTTGAGGACCTGAGATACTTATTTGGAAAAAAGGAAAAACTTAAATGGCAGTAACTTTTTCTTTACCAGCAATGGAGCCATATACTTCAAAATACACTTTCTGAAGGAACCCTGAGATGACGAACGTGTGCTAACCAACCTTTTTCTTTTGGAAACACTTAGGAATATTGCAGTGACATCGTGCAATTATGCTAACAGTATTTTTTCTTTTAAAAATTTTTTATTTTACGACACAAGACCTTCAGCCTTGATGTTGCTATTTCCTTGGAAGTTTTTTCTTCTATTTCTTTTTGTTTTTTTTAAATCATTTTGGCCTGTATGAGGACAACTGCAGTTACAGGATTCCACGTGGCGTAACTAAGTACACTGTCTGTGTCTGTATGTTGAATGTCTGTGTGTCTTTTACTTGTGTTTAATTTTCTTGGCCTTGAGGTGAGGTGTTCTAGTTGGTTTGGATGGTGCCTATAGATATGTACACAAACAAATGAAAATGTAATCTTCATGGTAACTAATTTGTTTTTTAAAAAAAGGTTGTATTGGTGTAGATATAGATATAGATATATTCTCTTACTTGGGTTGACAGTGTCAGGCAAATGGAAGTCTGGAATAAGTAAGGTTTGGGGGAGAAAAAAAAGAGTCTCTAGTTATGAAATAAGGAAATAGGAAAACCAAAGGCTACGGTTTGACTGCCCACACTGTCCCACTGACTGAGCTGGAGCTTCCACAGAAACTGAGCTTGTCGTTGCTGTTTTTTCCTCCTTCATACTTGTGACAAAGCTTCCCAGAATTCTAACTTGAAATGCAATTTGGTAGCTTGTCATTTGGTTCCTCAAAGGGAGTTCCGTGGAACCCCAGCGGAGCTCCTGAGACACTGCACAAAAGTCCTCCCTTGCCCCCTGGGGAAAGCACTCAGCCCAACTTGTCTGACTTGGTGGACGCAGTAAAGTGAAACTGGGAAGGAGGCCCTGTCGCTGGGCAAAGGTAAACCTTTGGCAGGAACACAGCTGTTAGCCTTGTGTTTCCAAGACATGTAACAAAAGTACTTTTTGATATGTATGTAAACTGTGAATGCCGATCACTGTCTTCCCACACTATATTCAATGGTCTGTTATTTGCAGAAATTGTTTCTGAAGAAAGAAAAACACATTTGTTTCCAGTAACAGCTCTCAACAGATTCTAACAGATTGAACTTCTGATAGTGGAAAAATATTTTCCACAAAGAACCAAAAAGACTGATTTTACTAAATTTTGTTTGAAATTCTACTGACATTTTTGTTTGTTTGATTCAAAGCTAGTTTCCTTGCTTTGATTGACCAGGGTCTATGATAATGTTCTAAATTTTTTTCAACAGAGCTAATTTTTGTTTCCATTTCTTCTGCGTTATACCAACACAGTATAAAAATTGTAGGAGTGATTTTTACTACTCATGAGTCTGTTTCTGCGTAACTTCAATAGGGAACTTTATCCGCTTAAACTAGAGAAGTGGCAGTGTGCTTCAGTGCCTTGGCCTGGCGTTCTGCTGACACTTCACACACGGCTGAACCAGGAAGATGAGCACCTGCTGCTTGGTGTGTCGGGTTCCAGAGGCCTCCAAAGGAGGTGAGGAAGCTTGCCTCCACTGGCGGGACTGGACACCCCGAGAAAAATATCGAGCCCTGGTAACCTCGGGAAGAGGTGATCCCAGGTTGAATCTGCCGAGACTGAATGTTGTCCCTGAAGCCTGTGTGGCCTGCACACTGGCTGTTCACGCTGATACTACACGCGGTGTTGCAACAAGGCCAACTCAAAACTGCTGTTGAGTCAGTCTGCCCTGTGCGTTTATGCAAAGATAGAAAAATGGTTCAATGGTAACTTGCATTTGTGAACAGGTGTACACTGTTGGATTAAGTTGGGATCAAGGTTGAGAGAACTTGTTTTCACAGAGGTTAAACAAGTTTTTAAGGACTTTTGCTTGTTCCTGTTACTTTGATCTATATATACCCGAGTTTTTTTTCTCTTCACCTATCGCGATAGACTACTTTCCAGCAGTGACCGTCCTATCGGACTCTCATGAACACTGCTGGTGGCTGCTGCTGCTCCTGCAGACACTTGAAACCTGATGGAGACTGTCTCTTGAGACTGCACGCTGTGATCTGTGCCACCACAGATACGGGGATGTTGGGGGAGGACGTCCTAAAGGAACTCTGCAGAGTCCTGTGGACTCCACCCCCGACTCCAGTGACTGGAAACTACAACTCCCAGCAGCACCAGGGAGAGGACTGCGAGGACCCAGGGGCGGAGCTAAGTTTAGTTTGCCACTCAAGTCCCAAGTCGGCGGAGCCACTAACATGTCCCAGCTTCCTGTGTCCCACTCTTTCCCTGGGTTGTGCCTTTTCCTTTCCCCTTTTGTAAATAAGCCCGTGATCGACTCTTTAATGTGTGCCTGCAGCACAACTGAATTTCAGGCGCCCGGGTGAGGCCCACAGACAGGCAGCCCAGCTCACACCAGGGCGCCAGGTAACAGCAGACGCCCGCCCCGCCCCGCCC